AGGCTCCACTGTTCCCAAATTCTGCAAGCCCAGTCAGTGCTTTTTTAGTTGTTTCTGGTATTGCACTCTTTTGAGCTGCCAGAACAGCTTCATCGTCCTTTGGGGCAGCAAACCTAGAGCTAGCTGAGATCTTGGATGATGATGCGGCAGTGGTCCTGGTGCTGCTTGAACCATCGAGAGATTTAGAGCCGCCGTCTATGCTGCCATCGAGCTTAGGAAGCAACTGGGTGGAGTTATTTAAGAAGTCTTGGTATTGCTCCTCCGTAATTTGTGAAAGAAACTCCTCTATTTGCCTGTCTATTTCACTTGAGATGTCAGAGACAGAGACAGCCATTGTTGGGAAGATAATGTTATTTTTCAAACTGTTATAGTGCGCTGTTGCTACGCGCAAAAGCTACCATGGGAATGCATTGCTGTTGCTAACTGTTGCTAAGTAAACTATTTGTTTATTTTAGTACATGGTAGAAGTTGGTTATACAACTCTGTGTCGGTATCTATGGCCTTATCATACCTCGGGCCTACGGCCCTCAGTATGATAAATGCCATAGATACCTCCACCTCGTTGTATAACCTTTACATATTTACCTCGTAGGACGCAATCTGATTGGTCAATTGCAAGTAGGCATGGTAGAAATAGGCTTTGGGCAGCATTTGATTTTACCATATCATGAGTATCCAGGGCTCAGTCAGTATGAATATTATGCTGTTTCCACTAGCAGTGTTAGTAACAAATACCTCAGTCAAGTTCTTCTAGTTGGTTGTATTAGTAATACTGTCATTAGTATTATACCAACAGTTGATCTCTTCATTCCTATTGATGTACAGAAGAATGGCAGTGATGATATATTAGTAACTAAAGGTAACTCTCATACTATTACACTACATGAGGGACAGACTCTATTGCTGGGTAAAGGGAATGGAAGTGATATATCAGGAACACACTTTATTTCTAATAAACCACTGACTGTTATTACTGGTCATGATTGTGGCAGTACTCCTTATATGATGAAATTCTCTGACTGTGAACGTATTCAGTTACAAATTCCTCCAGCAGTAACTTGGGGTAAAAAGTTCATATTGACACCCTTTATTGATTTAAGTTTTGACATACCTTCTTATGTGAAGACAGTCACCTCACAAGCTAACACTAGTATTACAATATACTGTGATGGAACCAGTAACACTACAAGATACTCTACTAATGGTGCAGTTGGTACATATCAGTATATCATAACTGAATATTGTTATATGGAAGCTGATAAACCAATATTTGTTGTCTTGTTCCCTCACTCATTAGGCTATTATACTACTATGGTATTGATACCACCGATAGAACAATATCTGCAAAAAATTGAATTTGATCATGTTGGATATTTGTCTCTTTATTCAAAGCTTATAATTACAGTATCAGTTGAAGGATTCTCTTTAACAGCTATTCTACATAATGGACTAGCAAATGTAAACTGGACAGCAATATATGATTCTAAAAGGAATATTGTAGCATATGGAACTGAAATTGAAATTAGTCAAACTAGCAATCATTCAGTAGTTCATACTGGTAGAAATGGAGCGTTATCTGTTCAAATTCAGAATCTTGGCGATATTATTGATATTTACTTTGGATCTAATGAATATCCAGCAGTAGTTTCACTACAACCAAGTAAAATTTGTATTAAATTTTAAATATTGCTATTTATAACTCAATAATAGTAGGTGTTATTCCTGTCTGTAATTTTTCTTGTGGTAATGGTATATGTATTGCTGATAACTTGTGTCAATGTTTTTATGATTGGACTGGAGATCAGTGTGATGAAGGTATGGATCAAATACATACATCTAATGTATAACAGTATCTCATGTCTTTAGTATTATGTAGTTTAGTATGTGGTAATGGATATTGTGTACCAACTAACAGTTGTGTATGTAATCCTGGCTGGACTGGAGACAGGTGTAGAACAGGTTAGCTCAAGTTTATTTTGTGTACAATACTAATACATTATTTTTAATAATTATGTAGATATAAATGAATGCAGTCATAATGTGTGTGATCAAATATGTATCAATACTCAAGGATCATATACTTGTGACTGTAACACTGGGTATCAGTTGAGGAATGACAACTCAACCTGTGAAGGTAAAATAATTAAAAGAGTTTAAGCATACATTTACGTACACACAGATATTAACGAATGTGAGACTATTGATCACAATTGTACACAAACTTGCAGTAATACAGTTGGATCATACACCTGTTCTTGTAGAGCTGGATATAAAAATAATGGATACGGAAATTGTACAGGTAAGAATATTGATATACTTTGTAATAAAAAGTGCTGAGAAGCCATGATTTGTATTCTTTGTTAATCAATTCTATGGAATTAAAATTATATTTTTAAGACTAATGGTAAACATGTTATGTGACTCCTCTATAGTATGCACACCTACCCCAGAATCTAATTACTGTTGTCTTTGTAGTGTCGTTACTCAGTATTCCTTTCCCATACATGTACATACAGA